GTCATCGACATACAACACTAGGAATGCCACTGCGCTCCCAGTCACTTTCTTGTAAACATAGGGCTCATCTTCGTTCTTGATAAAATCAAAATCTTTTACGGCATCATCAAAACGAATGTTCCAGCTCCTTGAAGCTTGCTTGAGTCCATATATGGATCTCTGCAACTTGCATACCCTATCAGCTTGCCCATCAAGAACGAAACCACCGGGTTGTGTCATATACACATCCTCTTCAAGGTTTCCATTTAGGAAAGCTGTTTTGACATCCGTTCGCCAAATCTCATAGTCATGATATGCAGTAATCGTAAGCATAATCCAGATGGATTTAATCATGGCAACTGACGAAAAGGTTTCTTCATAGTCAATTCCATGAATTTGTTTGAAACCTTTGGCAACTAGTCGTACCTTATAAATATGCACCTTGCCATCCATGTCAGTCTTCTTCTTGAAGACCCATTTACACCCTATGGGTTTTACCCCTTCAAGTGGTTCCACCAAAGACCATACTTGGTTCTGGTACATAGATTCCATCTCAGATTTCATGGCTTCAAGCCATTTAATGAAATTTGGGTCTAATATAGCGTCTTCGTAGGTTCTGGATTCATCATCTTGGTAGACTGGTACGTCACCATGTTAAGTCACGAGATAACTATATCTCTTGGGCTCATGGCGTACTCTCCCAGATCTACGTAGCTCCTGTGCTACTTGAGGTGGTTCACTTTGATCCACAGCTTATGGAGTAACCTCCTCTTGATGTTCAACCACTTCATGTGGCACATCATCCCGTCCTTCGTCTAGTATATTTTGTGGTTCTAGAACTTTATCGAGTTCTACTTTTCTCCCACTAGTACTTCTTAGAAAAAATTCCTTTTCTAGGAAGACACTAGAACGAGCAACAAAAATTTTGCGCTCTTCTGGGTGATAGAAATAGTATCCTTTGGTCTCCTTTGGATACCCCATAAATATACATTTACAGGATTTTGGGCTCAGCTTGTTCGAAGTCAATTTTTTAACATAAGCTTCGCAACCCCAAATCCTTAGATAAGACAAGCTGGGCTTTTACCCACTCCATAGCTTATATGGAGTCTTATCTACAAACTTTGATGGCACACGGTTCAAAACGTGTGTCGCAATTTCTAGGGCATAACCCCAGAACGATGCAGGTAAATCACTAAAACTCATCATGGACCTAACCATATCAAGTATGGTCCTATTCCTCCTTTCAGATACTCCATTGTGTTGGGGTGTATACGGAGGGGTGAGTTGTGACACTATCCCACATTCCTTTAGGTATTCAGAAAACCCTAAGCTTAAGTATTCACCTCCTCGATCCGACTGAAGAGCTTTAATACTTTTGCTCAATATATTCTGTACTTCATTTCTGAATTCTTTGAACTTATCAAAGGCTTCAGATTTATGTCTTATAAGATAGACATAACCATATCTACTGAAATCATCAGTAAATGTGATAAAGTATGAATATCCACCTCTGGCCTCAATTGTTAGTGGACCATATATAGGGCTGGTTAGCAAACCGAGCCGCTCGCGAGCCCGCTCGACTCAGCTCGGCTCGAGTCTAGCTCGTTAATGGCTCGATTCGTCTAATTATGAGCTATCTTGACTCGGCTCGTGAGACAAAACAAGCCGAGTTCGAGCCATACAAGGATTGGCTCGTCAGGCTCGCGAGCCACGCTTGGCTCGAAATAGCAGGTTTTTTTTGAGAATTTCTGAACTATTGGGATTTCATTGAAAATAATGTAAACAAGTTTTAAAAATAACAAATGGCCCCCATTATTAAAATCCCCAAATCACGAAAAATCCGTCAGCAGTAGAACCCTTGCCATAAAATTTGAATCAAACTCCTCCCAAAGTAACGATTTCGGCCAGATCTTGTTCATCTTCGTTAGCTTTGCGGGATCTTCGTGGGATATTGTTCATCTTCGTCATCTTCGCGGGATCTTCGTGGGATATTATTCATCTTCGTCGGACCGTCGGTTGCCATTGGATCTTCGTCATCGTCGTTTGATCGTCGTTGGATCTTTGTCTGAACTTCGTCTTCTTTGTACGAGCTTTGTTAGATCTGAATCTTCTTTGTCGGATCTGAATCATCTTCATTAGATCTGAAGTTTCTTCGTTGGTTCGTCATCATCTTCATTGGATTTTCATAGGAATTTAATCAGTGAGTAAGGGGTTTCTTCGTCGGATCTTCATCATCTGCTATGGTTGTTTGTTTGTGGTTGCTTGTTTGGAGTTTGGGGTTTCTTCAATTTTTGTCAGATTTTAACTTGTTTTTTTGTGAATTGTTTGTCTATAACAGGGGGCTTTTTCTGGTGAAAGAATTTAGGAAGAGCAGACTGAAATTGCTTTATTAGTGGTTGACCGTGGTGGTGTTGCTGTGAAACCCATACAAGGTTAATGTTTGTGTACTATCTGTGAAGAGTAGTGCCGTGTATTGGGTCTGTTTGACTATTTATTTAAATTGCTTTACTAAAATTGAAATTGTTTGTGAATTGTGATTATGGTTGTGTTGGGACAAAATTTCAATTGCAAAGGAGTTTGTTAATGGTTGACTGGTTGTTATTTATAAATTTGTTTGTGGGAATGTGGTTATGGAGTTTTGCATTTGGTGGTGGGGACTGGCCGACTGGTAGTTTATAAATATGTTTGTGGCTTGTTGTAGGAATGTGGTCCTGATCTGGTGGTAGGGACTGGGGGATTTAAAAATTTGTTTCTGGCTTGTGGGAATGTGTTGGTGTGGGGTAAAGAAAGAAGAGCCAGTGCCTTAAAGATGACATTTGTGAAGGCATAGAAAATAGAATATTACACAACATGATGCTGTTGGAATAGAAGCAATTTTTTTGTTTTTTTTTTTAATATCTAACTATGTCATTAGCTTCTACTAATCAACCTTTTTCTAAATGTAAACTTTGTTTCTTTCATTTGAACTCTCTGAAATGTTCCTTATTCCAATTAATTATAGAGGGTTAATAACAGATTAACAGTGCTAACCCTCACATGGCTACCTCATTCTTTATAGCTCTAAAAAGAAAGTATACTCTTCTGTCCATGGAGAAAATCTGAGTCAAAGAATAAAAATTTAACTATCTGATAAGCATGTGCAATGAGTTGTCCCTAGTGCATTTTAGCCACAAGTTTATTTATAACAATGGGTGTTGGGCCGAAGAAAACATTAATAGAATAGCCTTGTGATAATCAACAAGCACATGGATACTTAATAATCTTTCATTTTGATTGTAGAGAAGGAATATGCAAGCCGCCCTCTCTTGATTAATGGAAATGGCAGGAAGAAATGCCAACTTTTTTGTATTATACTTGAAATGCTTGACCATATTATCTGTTACCTTGTCTTATATTTTAACCTTTTCAATACCCACCAGCTTGTCAAAGCTTTATAAAATAACATGAAGCCAATATGCATGGCAGCACATAGCCCAAGACCAAGGCCCCATACTCAAGTCTGATTCTCATCTCTCATGCATGCACACAAGTGCTGTACGGCCACATTGCTTAATCAAATTCAAACTTTATTTTGTTAAAGCCAAAAGGGATAGCAAATTTTCTGCACTGATTAGAAAAAGAAGTGAATGGATTGGACATTAAAGAAAAGAAAGCATTATCATTGGGGTAAGGAGAAAGTGAAGTATTGTTGGCCATAAACAAATATCTGCACTTAAAACCTTGTTCTACTCTTTTTCTTTTTTCAAGTAGATATCGATGTCTTAGCTCTATTGAGAAATCGAATCACACCTTACAACTTTTGTTAAGCACATACTAGTGGATGCCTAAGAGCACAATATGTTGGATTGGTGAGTGGAGGGACATTGTATTATGTACCCTTCCAATTTATTTACATAAATGAAGTTTATATATTCAAATTTAATGAATTCAAAATAGAACATGTTAAATTCTAAATATTATCATATTCATAAGTTATCATGTGAGTTGCAAATGAAAGTCAGACAAATTTCAAAATATAACATGTGAAACTTAATCAAACATGATACAAAACCAATATCTCTAATTAAAGAATAAATGAATGTTGGGATGTATTGGTGACAATTAATATTGGTGTGCAATGTATAATGTATTGGTTTGATGTGTGTGCAATGTAATAGTTTGACATTATTTCATATTGGTTTTGCATTAAATTGTTGATTTTTTTTTTCCCATTTATAAGTTTGTAAATGGAGGGCAATTCCTCAAGTACCCCTGCAATATAAGATACAATTACCGATACACCTGGCGGTAACCTTAACTTGAATGTAACCACTACTAATACGGAGCAAAGTATTAGTAGCCCGGATAATGGTGATGAAAATCAAAATCCGGTTTAGAAGCAAAAAAGAGCGAAGACTTCAGTGTTATGGTTGGAGTTCAAGGAGGTGGTACTCCCTAATGGCACCAAAAAGGCTGAGTGTATCCATTGCAAAGTCAAGTTGTGTATTAATGCCACTGGAAGCACCACCTAGTTCAATAGACATTTAAGCCGGTGTTTAAGGAGAAAAGCTTCCATGAGGCAACAACATATTAGTTTTCTGAGTGCCGGTAATGATGTTCCAACTATTATTTTGCCAGCTTTAAGTGGGAAGTTTGACTTGTTGAAAATGAGGGAATTGATTACCCATTGGGTGTTTATGCATGAGCATCCATTTACAGTTGTGGAGGAAGAGGGCTTGAATAATATGATGAAGTATGAGATTCCTGGATGGACTCTGGTTTCCCGCCATACTTGTAAAAAAGATTGTATGAAGGTATATGAAAGTGAGAAGGCCAAATTGAAGACTTTGTTGAAGACTGTAACAAAAATCAATTTGACTACAGACTTATGGAATTCAGGGAATTAAAAGATGGAGTATATGGTGTTGACCGGGCATTGGATAGATAGTACTTGGAGGCTAAATAGACATATCCTCAACTTTGTTCGTCTACCTCCTCCCTAGACTGGTATTGTGATTGCGGATGGAATTTTCAAGTGCCTAATGGGATGGCGAATTCAAAATAAGGTATATACTATTTCTGTGGATAATGCTTTAAGTAATGATGTTGCGATTAAGGTTTTGAAGGAAAATTTTGAAGTTTCGGGGAAACTCCTTTGTGGAGATAAACTGTTTCATGTGAGATGTTGTGCACACATCTTGAACCTGATTGTTCAAGATGGACTTCATCAAATTAGTCACATCATTGACGACATCTATGAGAGTGTGTTGTATATCAACAGTTCAGAAAGCAGACTCAAGGTACTTTCTGAGATTATTCAACAACTTAAATTGTCGTATCGGAAACTTATTCTTCATTGTAAAACAAGGTGGAATTCTACCTATGAAATGTTGGCAACGACAATTAAGTTCAAAAAGGTTTTTCCAAGAGTGAAAGAGAGGGATATCAATTATCATAATAATCCAAGTGACGAGGATTTGGAGAAAGTGGAGAAAGTTTGTGAAGTTTTGAAAGTATTCAGTGGTTCAATCAAACTCATTTCAGGAAGTGATTATTCGACGTCTAATTTATTCTTGAAGGAGGTGTGTGTAATGAAATGTATGTTGGATAGTAAAAGTGAATCCGAAGATGATTTTATTAGAGTAATGGTTAGGAAAATGAAACAGAAGTTTGATAAATATTGGGGGGAATGTAATGTGTTGATGTCTGTGTCTGCTGTATTGGATCCTCGGTTGAAAATGAGGGTTATTCAGTGGACATTCCCTAAGATATATTTTGAGGCAGAAGGACGGACAAATATGGTGACAGTCCTGGATGCATTGTATGAGTTATATGGGGAGTATGTTCAAGCTAACCAAGGTGTGACTATCGCCCATGCTTTTACATCATAAGGGGATGGACATGGAGCCATTGGTGAGGTGGCTGCGGTTGAGGGAGCCGAGGCTTGGAATGATTTTAGCACTTTTCTGGACGTGGTTGAAACTATTGAGCCTAGTCAGTCTGAGTTGGACTGTTATTTGGGAGAGGGATGCCATAAGTGTATGGGGGATCATGACTCATTCGATGCCTTACAGTGGTGGAAGGCAAATTCAACCAAGTTTCCTGAATTGTCTACGATGGCTCGAGAGATACTAGCCATCCTGATCACTACGGTTGCTTCAGAGTCTGCATTCAGTGTTGGGAGCAAGGTTATTGATAGTTACTGAGCTTCTTTGTCACTAGCTACGGTGGAGATGTTGTTATATGGATATGATTGGTGTCGCACTTTGAATGGAGTGAAGAAAGGGTGCAAAGTAAGTTCCATTGCTTGCATGTTTTGTTTAATTCTATATTTAAAATAACTTTATTCTAACCTATAGATTATTTTTATCTCTTTTTCATCTTAGAAAGAGGAGGATGAGGATCAATTGGAGATTCAGCTTCCTGTTCTATCAGTTGATGGGAGTCAGCAGATTGGTTGATTCACTCGTGAGTTATTGGCTGTGGCAGTAGGATTCTGCAGGTCAATATTTATTACTTTTGTGTTGAGGTTTGCATTTTCACTTTACAGTTTATATAAAATGACAATTGTACTTAATATGTTTCACATTAATTTTTTTGTAGGAGGAGTGGGGCTACAATAGACATACATCCAATTATCTTTTGCTATTATATATATTTTTTCATGGATGGGGATGTCACTTGACATATAGTTAAGCTAATTCCCCATTTTGTTTTTGTGAAAACTTTATTAAGTCAAGTGAACTAAACAAAAATTATTTAGTTCACTTAACTTAATTTGTGGTACATACAGTATGTTAAATGATAAATTGTTAATAGCAGTAGCTTTTCATTTAATATTGATTTTAAGTAAGTTTAACTGTTGGGTGATGTATAAGGACCTGAGAAAACATGCAGACAATCAGATTAAGACCTACGTGCTGCCCAGCAAATTAAAAAATAATAAATGAAAAGTGAAAAATAAATGAATCAGTTTGACAAAAATAAATCAGTTTGACAAAATAAATGAAAAGTGGAAAATTTAACAAAATGCATCAGACATTAGTAATTCTTCCTCTGCCCAGCAAATTAATGAAAAGTTAAATTATGATTTTTCAATTTTAAGCCCTTCTGAATTCGCCTGCCATATTTAAATATTTTAAACTACATTTCTCATTTTCAATATTGAACATTGATTCAGCTTCAAGCGAAATTATGATTTGCATTTATTTGAATTTCAGACATTCAGACTGCTGCCCAGCGATTTTTTGTAAAAAAAATTGAATTAAAAAAAAAAACAAAATTATTTGGAGATGGCTCGCGAGCCGGCTCGAAATATGCCAAATCCATTACTGAGTTGAGCCGAGTCGAGCCACATAATTTCTGGCTCGGCTCGGCTCGGCTCGGTCTCGGCTCGTTTAGTCTTCCTCTCTCACGAGTCGAGCTCGTTAAGCCAAAAACTCAGCTCGGCTCGGCTCGGCTCGATAACACCCTTAACCACATACATCTCTATGGATGATGCCTAACAGCTCAGTAGCCCTTTCACCTTGTCCTGTGAAAGGAGACTTGATCATCTTGCCTAATAGGCATGACTCGTATACCTCAAATGACTGAAAGTCAAAAGGGTCCAAAACTCCATCCCTTTGAAGTTTTGCAATGCGTGTCTTATTAACATGACCCAATCTACAGTGCAAAAGATATGTCTGGTTTTGATCGCTATGTTTAGCTTTCTTGGTTTCAACATTGAGAACATCTTTATTGTTTAAATCAAGGTTATATAATCCATTATATAACCTTGCAATTCCAAATAGAATACCATTCAAACTAAAGGACAACAATCCATTAGATATCTCAAAATGATACCCCATATTATCCAAAGCGGATACTAAAATAATATTTCTAGAAATAGAAGGTACGTGATAACAGTTTTGTAGTTCCAACAACAAGTCTGTAGGCAAAAATAAACAGTAAGTCCCTACAGCCAATCTAGCCACATGTGCTCCATTTCCAACTCGTAGGTCTACCTCTCCCTTGGCGAGCACTCTACTCTGCCTTAGTCCCTGCACATCAGTACAAATGCGAGTACCACATCTTGTGTCAATGACCCAAGATGTTGAGGGAGAGAAGTTAATCTCAATCATAAACATACCTAAAGTCGTAGCATCTGACTTCTTCTTGCTTGCGAGGAAAGCCTTGCAGTGTTTCCTCTAGTGGCTAGGCATGCCACAAAAGAAGCAGACTACTTTGCCCTTCCTTATGCCACTCTTAGGTACAAGAGCAGCCTGTCCTTTGGGCTTGGGCTTGGGGTTGGCCTTGGCCTTACCCTTACAGTTACCTTTTCCTTTACTGGCAATAACCAGTAAAATGGGCTTGGACTTTTTCAAGTCCTGCTCTGCAGTCCTAAGCATGTTCAAAAGTTCCGACAGGGTTTTCACCATTGTGTTCATATTGAAATTCATTATGAACGGTGCATAAGAGTCAGTCAAGGATTGCAGAATCAAATCCATTTGTAATTCTGCATCCAACTCAAATCCCAAAGTCTCAAGTCTCTTTATGTGCTCGATCATCTTAAGCACATGAGGAGCAACTTGGGCTCCCTCAGTCAGACGATTCCCAAACAGTGCTTTCGACACCTTGTACCTCTCATGTCAAGCATTTCCTTCAAAAAGCTCCTTGAGGTGTAGAATAATGGCAGCATCGTCCATATTCTCATGCTGCTTTTGCAGCACTGATGTCATTGATGCTAACATCAAGTATTGAACGCTATCAGCATCATCAATGAACTTTTATAAGTATCCTTTACTTCCTGAGTGGCATCAGGATTTGGCTCAGCCATGTATGATCTGGTATTCTTTTCCGACTTGAGTATAATCTGAAGATTACGATACCAGTCTGAGAAATTGGATCCATCCAACCTATTTTCTTTCTCGATTATCGGTCGCATGTTCATTATACTCATTTTGGTGAATCTACAATTGTAGAAAAGATGGTCATTATAAAGTTCATTATTATTTAGTATGGTCTTTTATTAAACGATGCTCCCGCTTTTACTCAAGTCAATAGCCCTCACTATTGACTCGGGAAAGCCCGTTGACTTTCCTAGTGGACTGATGGTATGTTGTCATAGGCAACCAAGATTAAAAACCTTCCTAACCTAACTACTAAACTGTAAATAGGGTAAGCAAGAGTCGATCCCACGAAAAGTGTCTAGCCGAATTTTCTATGATATGAATAAGGCTCGGGGGTTTTGAGTAAAACAAAAAACAATCTTAGCCAAAAACAAAAACAAAAACAATTCAATTCGAAATCAGTTAATATAACGAAACTTGGTCTCTGTCAACATCCACCATCGGAATCTTACAACTGATCATTGATGCAAAAGTAAATCAATTCTTACTTTGAATATTCACCGTTGGAACTGTTTTCCTATCTCTTCTTAATTGTAATTAATTAGGAAACAAGCGATCTTAATTAATCTTACCATTAAACAACCCTAGACAAGCGCTAAAGATTTAATCTAATGGCAGCCTTAAGAATTAGAGAAATCGATGAAGCTAAACAACACAAACACAAGCGGTTGTATTTAATTTAGTTGAATGTTCTTCTTAAGATTACTAATTCCTGACGCAGCAAATTTTTAACCCTAATTGCTTCACAAGTTAGAGGGATCAAACAATTACGGATTTGATATCAAACTTAGTAGTAGATTGCAACAAATAATACACTAGTAGGCCTCCTAGTAATTAAATGCATCAATCATGAAGATATGCACAGAATAACATTCAATACTCAAACATGAAAATTGAACACTAAAATAAAAATAGATTAGATCTCACAGTTGGTTGATTCCGAGGTCTCCGTTTCCGACGACCAAGTTACAAAAGTTTTAGCCTCCCATGGCCATCACGAATATTCCAAAGGAAAAGTTACAGAGACCCAAAACCAGAGAGAGGCGTGTGTCTCCTTTCAAAACCTAATCTGATCTCCTTACCAAAAATCCAGTTCAAATATTTGAATCCCACTAAATCTCCTAAAAGAAATATTCTAATATCGTAAAATAACATTAATCCTAATTTAATTCTAATTAATTGATAATAAGATAAAGTCCTAAAATAAAATAGGAAAGTGGTGATTCTGAGCTGTAACTTGCATGCCACATGTCCTCAAATCGTCCAATAATAAACTGCCCAATTGATTTGCATGACAAGGCAGAATGCTCCAGGACGTCTAGTGCAGATGCGTCAACTTCAAGCTCGATTACAACCTTGATGCAGTGCGTATATCTCCAAACTCAAAGCATGAAAGTTGTAGATATATTTCTTAGCGTTCCACAGAATTTTGAATCACCTCAATCGGAGCCCAGATGAGAGAGTTATGCCCAGATTATGAAACAATGTTGAAACTGTCCGAATTCACTTAATTAGTTCTGTTTTGCAATTAACGCCTCCATTTGCATCCTAAATCAAAATAGAATAATAATGAGTACATTTAGGCAACAAATACGTATAAAAGACTAAACATTAAGAGGGGTAAATATGATATTTTGCATTCTCATCAACTGAGATCCCATCCAGCCCATTTCAAACCTTCGTTTTGACGAACAAGGCAAAATAAGTTGATTAGGTAGGCTAACAAACTTAATCCACACTAGTTGGTAGCTCTTACTATCAACCTCAAATGTGAAGAAGCCAACAAGCCAATCACACAATCCAATGGCTCTAACCATTGTCCTCAAGTGTGATTCTCAGTATCAGTAGAGTGGACACTACATGCCACCATGTACACACAATATGTGTACTTCTCTACTATGCCTATGATGCGTTTATCAACCTTCGCTTTGACGAACAAGCAAAATCGTCATTTTAAGTCGACATATCACCATTAAGGAAAACTCCAATGCATTTTAACCTTCCACTAGTAGAAGTGTGCCCTTCGCTTTGGCAAACAAGGTTTCGACGAATAGTGGTTTGATTAAAACCATGGTGATGGAAGGCTTACGTGACTTAATATACTTTAATTGAGGGTTTGTTATTTAATGTCTCACCAGATTATTATCTTTGCTAGAATGACATTGTTTGGAATGTTATTGAACATTCAATCTTAGCATGCATTCTAAACAAAATATTAAAATGTGTCAGTACATGGCCCAACTAAAAACTGATTTCCTCGAGCCTAGAGGAATCAGTATATCACCTAAGGGTCCTATAATAAAATCTTGAGTCTTCAAGTATGATCGTCTCTTCCTTGACTCGTCTTCAAGTACATTACAAAAACATAATTCTAAATTTACAATAAAATTAATCTCAAACTAATTTTACATCAACAAATTTAGAAACCTCGTTTTACATTAGAGGGGAAGGAGATGAGAAGAGAATGTACATTGAGAAGAGGAGAAAGGCAGGACACGCAAGCCCTATTTAATAAATTTACAATCATACATACTGAAAATTTTTAAAACATTCAAGGCTCATGTACTAGGCAT